TCCACCTCTCCTCCCGGTCATTTTGTGCTTTCCTGCACTCTGACATTATTTGCCTCCACGCATTCGTCTGTGCTTTGTCAGTGTGGGAGGACAGCATGAGCTCGGAGAACATTTCATCGCGAGTGCGTTTTTTTTCTTTCTAATCTTCACTAGCCTCTGGGAAGGAGAAGATCCTGTGATCATTGAAACACATGCAGCTGGTGGAGAGAAAAAAAGGGACAGCGGTATTTAAAAAGACACATTTTATAAAACAGTCGCTACACTCTTTCAGGGTAAACCTTGCTGTTAACATTACATACATAGCACATGTGCTTTCGTTACAAGGTCGCATTTTGCCTCCTCCCATCGCGTGACTACCCCCTCAACCTTCTCCCCTCCCTGTGGCTAACAGCGGGGAACATTTCTGTTTAGCCACAGGTAAACAGCCCAGCAGGAACGGGCTCCTCTGAGTGTCCCCTGAAGAAAAGCACTCTATTTCAACCAGGTGACCATGAATTATATCTCACTCTCCTGAGGATAACACAGAGAGATAAAGAACAGATTTTGGTTGAATGCCAGCAAACATACACTGCAATGCTTTGTTCTACAGTGATTCCCGAGTACGTGTTACTGGCCTGGAGTGGTAAAGTGTCCTACCATGAAGGACGAAATAAGGCTGCCCTCCCCAGAAACCTTTTGCAAAGGCTTTAGGACTACATCTAGGAGAACCGCAAATGCCAGGGCAAAGTAATCCTTTCACATGCTTGCTTTTAAACCATGTATAGCATTTTAAAAGGTACACTCACCAGAGGTCCCTTCTCCGCCTGCTGGGTCCAGGAGGCAGCCTTGGGTGGGTTCGGGGGGTACTGGCTCCAGGTCCAGGGTGAGAAACAGTTCCTGGCTGTCGGGAAAACCGGTTTCTCCACTTGCTTGCTGTGAGCTATCTACAACCTCCTCCTCCTCATCATCTTCTTCGTCCCCAAAACCTACTTCCGTATTGCCTCCATCTCCATTGAAGGAGTCAAACAACACGGCTGGGGTAGTGGTGGCTGAACCCCCTAAAATGGCATGCAGCTCATCATAGAAGCGGCATGTTTGGGGCTCTGACCCAGAGCGGCTGTTCGCCTCTCTGGTTTTCTGGTAGGCTTGCCTCAGCTCCTTCAGTTTCACGCGACACTGCTTCGGGTCCCTGTTATGGCCTCTGTCCTTCATGCCCTGGGAGATTTTCACAAAGGTTTTGGCATTTCGAAAACTGGAACCGAGTTCTGATAGCACGGATTCCTCTCCCCAAACAGCGATCAGATCCCGTACCTCCCGTTCGGTCCATGCTGGAGCTCTTTTGCGATTCTGGGACTCCATCATGGTCACCTGTGCTGATGAGCTCTGCATGGTCACCTGCAGCTTGCCACGCTGGCCAAACAGGAAATGAGATTCAAAAGTTCGCGGTTCTTTTCCTGTCTACCTGGCCAGTGCATCTGAGTTGAGAGCGCTGTCCAGAGCGGTCAGAATGGAGCACTCTGGGATAGCTCCCGGAGGCCAATACCATCGAATTGTGTCCACAGTACCCCAAATTCGAGCCGGCAACGTCGATTTAAGCGCTAATCCACTTGTCAGGGGTGGAATAAGGAAATCGATTTTAAGAGCCCTTTAAGTCGAAATAAAGGGCTTCATTGTGTGGACGGGTGCAGGTTTAAATCGATTTAACGCTGCTAAATTCGACCTAAAGTCCTAGTGTAGACCAGGGCTAAGGAACAAATGGTTTTATAATGTCAGATGTATAGTTCTAGGTGAAATAGGAGGAAGTAACCACCAGGTTTTTGATTTTTAGTGTTTTTATTTTTTAAAAAATATTTTTTTTCTTAAAGAAAAAGGTTGTTAAGGCCTCTAAGTGCACATTAGTTTTCTAACCATTTGTGTCCATCTCTGTTCCCACCATTATTCATTTTTGCTGTGGAGTTAGAGATAACGCTATATTCAAAACATAGCAATGGGAGCTCTACTCATGAAGAAGAAATGTAGAATGGGCAACAGAGATTGCAATCTGGATTGAAGAATAAAACTGTACCCTTAATTCAGTCCAGTAAGTGCTTCCTAATTTCCAGCTCCTTTTCTTCAGGGATAGTTTAACAAGCATAGCTTTGCTGAGATCTTTCTCTGTGTGGGAGTGTTCTATTCAGCATTGCTCTCCTGCACACATGAATATAAACCACAGGCTTCTGAATATCCTGAGAATAGTTTCTTCAAAGGAAGATCAAAAGTGTTTACTAATGTCTGATGAGGCTGCGTGCCTGTCTTGCTCATGAACTCATGTCTATGCTGAGCATGTTAAAGGACAATCAGGATCATTATTCTACTTGTTTGATCATTAGCTACTTAGTTTGAGCGTAAATGACTCTTGTTTAGAGGGGGGAAGAGGAAGAAAAGCCCCACAGATGTCCCATAATTTTAACAAGACATGAATAATACAACTGTGCACAAGCCCAAATCTCTGTTGTGCTTCCCTTGCATTGTGTGGGATGATCTACTTGAACTTCAAACAAAAATACTTGGAGTTTTTCATGTTCAAAAGTTCAAAATATCCAGATTTGGTTTGCAAGGATTCATCAAAACTTCGATTTTTGGCTTGCATGGGTATCTGGATTCATGTAAACCATACAAAACTGTGGATCACCCAAGTTTGCTCTAAAAATTTTGTCAACTTCTCTCAAATCCAGCATTCTCAAACTTTTGAAAGCTTGTCCTCTACTTTCAGAAAATGGATCAATTTGTGTTCTACCCCCCCATCCATTCTGCAACTTTGCCCTGTTTTAAAGGCCTACCCATCTTTATTTATGCATCTTCTGTGCCCTTTTCTCTCTCCTTTGTACCTCCTATGAGAATGCACCCCACTTTTAAGACTGCTTAGAGCAGCATTTCTCATTCCAGACATTTTATACTGTACTCATCACCATGGTATCTAAGCATCTGGATTTCAACAAAACTAGGTTGAGATTCAAGTTTGTACTTAATCCTAGGGTGTTGGATTTCATAACAGATTTCACACAGCCCTTAATGACCTTATTCTCCAGCCACCTAGAAATCAAAGTTCATTCAATCAGAAATTAACCCATGTAAGTTTTCTTCTGTACTGTCACTTGAGAGCATTCATCTAATTCATAATCTGGATTTTCCTTTTTCATTATAAAGCTCCAGTTCAGTTAGTTTATGTTCAGTGAACCACTACATCGTGCTGTAGTAATTAAAGGAATATTGTATTATCACAATTATTCCCTTCTGTATATATACTGTAATACAGAAGGTGTGATCTCACATGTTATTGTTCTCTGGTTTGTTTATTAAACAGTAATAATAATAATGAGTTTATAATTGTAAGTTAACACCTAGTCATGATTATGCCAGACACAAATAATGTGGCCAAGTTGGACAACAGATGTCTTTTGTATTGTATAAGAAATATGCTGTAAAGCTGCTTTCCTGGATCTGAAAACTTACACAAAATAGAAATGTTAAAAGGGTTGCAGGGTTTTTCCCACCCTTACTCCTGCCCTCATGGAAGGTCATCCAGTATTTTCCATTTTTCCCCCCAGATTTAGGGCCCAATTTTTAAAGGTGCTGAGCACCCACAGCACCTTTTGAACTGAGACCAATGGGACTTGAATCTGTCAAGATCAGGTCTTCATTCCTCTTGATGACCTTCCGTCCAGAGAGTGCTAGATCCTGTTCCCTGTGGCACTGCTTAGGTTAGTCAGATGGAAGGAGTGTTGGAGTGACATGAGTTTGTTGCCTGTCCTCTGAGGAAAGAATCCTGTTCCATCACGCACCCAGCTCTTGCCAGTTTGTGACACAAACACTGATCCTCTGCCAAAGATCCACTAGGACCAGGTCATCCCGACGTGCCAGCATCACAGTGATGATACACTGGACTGTATCTATTTTTACTAGGAGGCCCGAGATGTGCAAGGTACAAACATCATCTATGAAGTTGTGAGCATTCTCATTTCTCAAATCCAGTTGGAGTTGAGGGTGCTCTCTACTTCTGCATGATTGGGACTTCAGATTGTAATCTCTTTGAGGGCATGGATTCAGTGCAAACCGTCTATTGATTTCATTGACAGCAGGACCATGCCCCCTTTTTTTTTCTACTTTCTACCTATTGTAAAGTGCATGAGGCCCTCGGCAATTAAATAATAATGTGAAGAATATAGACGTCTCCATGTAGCTTATCACTTCAACTCTATTGTTGGTTGCTGTGTTTTTGCAAGATGTATTTTCCCTGAGATTAAGTTTTTCTCATTGCCTAAAATGAACCGAAGTAAAATCATGCCTTTGGCTCTGAGTGATTGTTTATATATTTTATATGGTTAATATTATTAATTGGTGGCTGTGCCTGTACACATTTGGCAGGCAAACAAAGGGGAGCATGAAAAGTGCAGATTTTGAAGGGTAACTATATAAGGTGAAAATTCTTTTTTGTCTGTGTTCAGATTACAGGTTTTATAAGCCATGATATTCATTATTATTTATTGTAGTAGTTTACAGTTTTAGACCCTTCAGCCCTCTTGGGAATATACCCAGCTCCAATGATGTAACTTTGGAAAATGCAATAAAAATCCATTGGAAACCACAGCTTTCTAATAGGAAGTTTCTTGAAAGCAGTAAAATTAAATTGCCTCCACACTGAAAAAGGAAGTGGGAATGGTTTTCTGTACGCAGGGTAAAATTGCCTCTTGTATGTCCCCAATTTTCTTGGTTGAAATGTTGTGTATTTAGGTTGTCATCTCTGGTTGGAGGGGAAAGAGGTGGAACTTGTAAATTTCTTCTGTTATTAGATAGCAGACTTCGCAATTCCACTACATAGGCTGCATACTTAAGGAAGTATGTTTCTGATTTGCAGCCACAGCTGTGACTTCATCCTGTTTCTGATTATGTTGTAATTCAGTCTTCTGAGGGTAACATGTATTTCAGAGGTGGCTTTGAACACATTGTCATTTGTTCCTTTCTTTGTTTTTCCACTTGTTCAGATAAAGATGGTTGTGGACAATTCCTATCCCGATGGCTGTTGGGAGCCAGGGGGAAAACACAGAGAGACACATGGGTGTGCAGGTATATTATTTTAAGGCTTTGATTTTCCAAGGGGCCTGAGGGCACTGCAAGTATATGGGACTTGGTTGCCTTAACTCCCTTAGGCCTCTGCAAATCCCAGTGTAAATTCTCATTGACTTTCAGATATATGCCTGATAAATTTTAAACAAAGCTCTGATAATTCTCAGCGAAGCTGTCTGGCACCAGTACAACAATGTTAGGTGGAGCGATGTTTTGAAGTATCTTTTTTGACACAGAAAGGAGTGGTGGTGAATTTTCTCCTGGCCTATTGCTTGAAGCTGGCTTGGTGCTTGATAGCCTTGTGGAACCAGATGGGTGAATGGTAGGAACCAGAGGAGGGTGGTGGCATGAGACTGTTCTAACACAGATATTTAAAATATTATTTTGGAACTGAGCTACAGGAGTGGTATGGTGTGGGGAAATCTCTGATTATTCAGTTAGACCAGGAAATACATAGCACAAGAAGATTCTATGGGAGTTTATGGACTGATCTTCAACAAGAAATCAAAGATGATTTTGCCACTGACTTAAGTGGGAACAAGATTGGGGCCTTTATTTGGTTGTGGTGAGTAGCATTTTGGTGATGATGGGATAGACTTGGGCTTTGTGCAGTTGTTTGACTGGAGGTGAGACGATGGAGACAGAAACATCACATCTGGTTAATACTTGCATTCACGTGCAAATCTTCCACCCTCCCAAAAGTTAAACACTGGACCCCACCCTATAAACTACTGGGAACTGTTGAGCACACTCAACACATATAGAAAAGGAGTACTTGTGGCACCTTAGAGACTAACCAATTTATTTGAGCATGAGCTTTCGTGAGCTACAGCTCACTTCATCAGATGAGCTGTAGCTCACGAAAGCTCATGCTCAAATAAATTGGTTAGTCTCTAAGGTGCCACAAGTACTCCTTTTCTTTTTGCGAATACAGACTAACACGGCTGTTCCTCTGAAACCTGTCAACACATATATTACTTTAGTAGAAGTTGAGGTTGCTTAGCGCTTCACAGGGGCACTCTAGCATTTTGTAGGATTGGACCCTTTGTCCTCCATGCATAGCCCTTGGTGTTGCCCTATATATTCAGAAGTGGCTCAGCTCAGGTGCTAATATGCCCACTTCCTTATGAATCTCGTCCATCACATCCCCCATGTTTGAAGGTGTGGTGCACTTTTCCCATTCAGTCTAGATACATAGGCTCAAACCTGCAGTGTGAGACAATATTTATATCAAAAGAAAAAATTCACTTCCAACATCTAGGAGGTTAACTTGTGAACATTTGCTTAATTTTTTTTAAAGGTGCTTTTGTGTGATGTTTTATTCTTGAATGGTTAGAAATGAGTAATTCTAACAGGAAATAGGTGCGTATTTAGTATTAAAACACACTAGCAGATTGAAAGTATATATTCATTCTGTAAGAGGATAAATTTTCTTAACACTCTGTTCTGATCAATTCAGTTTTTGTTGGGTGAATAGGTATTTAAAACACATTAATAGTAGAGCTGATTTACCTTGTTTAAGAGGATATCCAGACCTGAACAACCTCTGGTTTCAGTACATGCCATTTAGAATGGAAGGCATGGTCACAGGTAATAAATTGGAATATTTCTCTGACATCAGAACATTACTTTTTTTCTGCACTCTGATTATGTGTAGTTAGAAAAAACAGAATTATTCTTACTAAAAAAAAATAAAGGTTCCTTTCTCCACTCTTGCTACTGAGCAAAGCACTGTAGAAATCAGGGTACTCCTGGTAGAATCCTTTGACCTTTACTCACACAAGTAATCCTATTGAAGTCTGTGGGACTATTCATATGAACAAGGATTACTTATGAGAGTTGGACATGTCTATCTGGGGACACCCAGGGCTTGTCTACACTTGAAATGTAGCACTTCAGTGTAGATACTTCCTACACAGACGGGAGGGGTTCTCCTTTCCATGTAGGTAATCCACCTCCCCACGAGCTGATAACTAGGTTGGCAGAAGAATTCTTCTATCAACTTAGTGCTGTCTACATGGGGACTTAGGTTGGCTTAACTACATCTTTCAAAAATGTGGATTTTTCACACCCCCGGGCAACGTAGCTGGTTCTGTCAAATTTTCTAATGTAGACCAGCCTCAGGAAAGTGAATTTAAAGCAGATTAAACGGCATTAAACTCCTGTGTTGACACTCTCACTCAGAATAAAAGTAGCATGTAGACAAACCTTAAGGATTGCAGGATTGTGCCTTTATTTCTGCAACTCTTCTTGCCAGTATAAATCTGATGCAAGATTTATTTATTTGGCTTTAAAGAGGCTATCTGGTCAGGTTCAAAATGTAACTTTATAAGCTTAATATTAGACATATTAATTGTTTTAAGTTCCAGAGTAGACAGTTTTTTCTTTTTGATTTAGTAATTTCCTTGCAGCATTTCCAGCTCAAATACAAGAGCATCAGGGCTGGTGCATAGATCCAAGAACAGTTTATGTAGTAAAATCTAAGGAAAATGCAAAAAGTAAATGCGGAGTATTGATGGTTACAAGTAAACAAGAATTTTTTGTTCTAAACCCTTTCAATGTTAGTAATCTTGGATGGTGTTAGTCATGGAGGTAACAGCATTTTGTTTATCTAACTTATCTTTCTGTACTGTCCTTTTAAATTGTAAATTGATCTAATAAACGGTGGGTTATTTGATGATTCCGAAGACTGGTTTACATATAGCGATCAATCCTGCAAACCCTGTTAGGGATTAGTGCTCTCTCTTGGGAATGGTCCTATTGATGACAACTGGACAACTGACAGTAGTGAGCACTATATGTAATAATAGTAAGTTGTGTTGCAGTCAATAGGACTGCTTATGGTAGTAAGTAGAACACCCAGTGCATTTTGTAGGATTAGACCCTTTGTTTGCATAACTTTATTTGCATGCAAATTAAATGTTCTTTTAACGTAGGCCTCAGTTTACAAAGGTCCTTCAGCACTCGCCTAAAATTACAGTCTGTGAGTAGTTCCATTAACAAACTAACTGTTCATGTGCTTAAGTTAGGCACATGATTAAATAGTTTGAATCAGGGTCACAGTGAGGCCCCTTATGGAGTGCTCTCTATCCATCAAAGAGTGTAGCAGGAAACTTCATTGTCTTAATAGACTTTTTTAAAAAAGTTAATCATTATCTCCCACCACGGGAGCCATGTAAAGCTTCTGGTCTGTTTTGGCTCGGATGGAATGTTGTTCTTTCCTTTTCTCGTCCTGCAGCCTGGGTGTATGTTCTTATTTAAGTGGTGTTCTGTGTGACTGTTGGCTCACCTGCATTTGAAAGGTGACGGGGAAACCTTTCCATGGTTCTATATATACCACTTTGTGTGCTGTAGATCATCCTTGTTTTCACTTCAAAAAGTTGAAAAGGATGGTTGTGCTGTCATTTAAAAACGTAAGCATTTGTGCCTGGATTTAAAGTGCAAATTGTGGGTAAAAAGGACATCAAAACAGATTGCTTCCCATTAGGGCACGATTGATAAATATTTAATATAGGCAAATCCTTATCTCGATGGCATTGTCCCTACCTTTATTAAACCAGCAATGTCCCAGGCTGTGTTCTCCCTGATAATTGGGACTTGCTGGGGTGTAAGGTCTAAGGTTTTGTACTGGATATAATTCCATTTAGCAAGTTTAACTTGACCCTAAATTATTCTTGTTCAAGGCCTCATAAAAATAGTTTGAAGGCTTAGGCAAGACTACAGTAATAAATGTAGTGCTCAGACTTTGAAAAATAATTAAGAACAGAATTCTTGTCAAGTTATACAGATCACCCGTGTAATACGTAATTGCTGAGAGTTAGACCCCCTTGTGGACTCGCACTGCACTTGTAAGAAACAGCATTGTCAAATTTGCAGTTGCCTGGTTAAGCATTGAGTCTGGGTCCTCTGCACCCTCAGCTCGCAGACGTGACAATGGAATTATAGGCATTTTCCAGATGCATGAGTGCCAGCTGTACCCAGGACTGCTGTTGTGAGTGGGGAGGCACTTGAGAACTTTGCCCTCATCCCAGCCCCTGCTCCTGACTGTCTCAGAGCTTTGATTAGCAGCTGCAGACTGTGTCAGGTCATCAGCTCCTTCCCCCTGCTAATAAACTCTCCGGTGGGAGTAGAATTCAGTTTGCCTCCCAGCAGTGGGGCAGAGGGATAGGAGAATTTGCAGGTGGAAATGGGGAGGAAACGAGCGCTACCAAAACCTAACCCCACGCATGCACTTTACCCCCAGGGAAAAGATGAAGGAGAAAATGAACCACACAGGACGTGTTAGTTGCTTAATGCACTTCAGGAAGGTGTGCAGATACTTCTGTGATGAGTGTAGTATAAGAAGCTGTATAGAACAGAGAGCATAATAGAGAGACTGCCTGTGCAGCTGCCACTTGGGCCCAGGTGACAGTCACTCCCTTGGGCTTTGTCGTGGGGATGAGGGCTGAAGGGTGCATCCCTCTGTCACGCATGAGAGGCCCGAAAGTGAGAGAGCCTATGGTGAGGGGAGGGCAAGGAAAGGAGAAGGGAGACTACTTGGGGGCCTGCTCCCATAGCTCATCCCGGTGCCTATAAATCGTGGTTGAACCTTTGACTAGGGGTATGTCTATACTGGCAGAGTTACAGTGCCGGAGGGAGGTCAGGAGGCATCCTGGGTCCTGTCCCAATGCCCCATGATGCATTGCTTTGCATCCCAGCAGTCCTTGTGCTTCTGTCCACATTTGGCTTCACCTTTCAACGGTTTGTGTATTGCGCACCCTGCCTCTTCGGGCTGCAGGAATGATCCCAAACTGTTGACCAGTAAGCTGCTCGCTCTGACCAACACGTCATGAGTGGCAGCAGAGTTATTCCTTAAGCTACAAAGGCAAAAGGAGTGTGACATTGATCTTGCCATGTGTAGTAGCTGCGACATGAGATTGCTTGTGGCATTCACGGAGATGCTGACCAGAGTACAACGCCACTTTTGGGTTCGGGAAACAAGCACTGAGTGATGGGATCAC